CCCCCTCTTGGCGGCCCTGGAGTCTACTAATATGGTGTGTTCGTTATTTTAGCAACCTACTACATCGTTTTGGGAGTGCACAACAATTTCGGAAGTGATATCATACTTCGAAGCGCATTGGAATCACCCCACGATTCAATTCGTGTTCTCGCTGGCAAATCTTTCACGTTGACGCTCCAAACAAGGAAAAACACTAGTATGGTGTTCAGCGTCATTGACGCAACCAACGGTAGAAGAGTGGCGATTAATGGAAAAGCCATGATGATACTTAAACCTACCAAAGTACCAGGCGCACCACAGGACCTTTATTTCCCTAAAAAAGGTATGCGACAATAGCTTAGCATGACACAATCTGTCCGTGTTGAATTTCTTTATAATTATATATTTTTTCATTTTCTGACTTTGAAAGAACCATATGTTTGCTTGCCATAACAAGTAAGCTATAATCTTTAGTCTAAACACCGTTTTCCTTTATGATCGCTTTGTCCCTGTGAGCATGAGAACAGTGAAGTTTTTCAAAACGTGTGCTTTAGATGTCTAACGTGACGGTTTTAATAATAACAAGACGCCTACTCAGGCGTTCACTCCGGGTACAGGGCCTTAACTAAGCGCAAACTACTTTAACGGAGGGCCCTGAAGGGGTAAAATGGGAACTGGGATTGATCTATTTTTAGACTGGGAAAATGGGATTTGGGTTGCTGGGACTGGGATTTGGCCACTGGGAAATGAAGTCCTCAAAAATGGGAATGGGATTGAGGTAATGCGAGTCGATTCCCAATTTTTCTACGTTTTAAGTATTTTAAAATACACTTTTGAACCGTTTTTGGTGTCTTTGGTCATGATTTTTGTTGTTAACTATATTATTCACAGCACTACCTGCGAACAGGCATACTCTGGCGCCCGGAATTGCAAATGCCATTTCCGGGATTCAAATTTAAAAACTTTCCGTGCCTTCGGAACGAGTCCCCCCCCCCCCCAATGTTTCATAAAATGTCCACCACTTGCACACACGGTGGCTTAAAAGGTCTTAAAACTGTTTATTCTACCGATAAATAAAGGGTTTTTTATTGACTTGGATTTCATTAACCCGGACTGGGATTTCTAATAAAAATCCAACTGGGACTGGGATTTTGCCAAAATTTCAGGTGGGAAATGGGATTGGGACCCCCCCCTTCAGGACCCTCTTAACGTATACTTATATACGGCAATGAAGGTATCTTTAATGCATGATATTTAGCATATTAAAGTTGGAAAAGTGGGAGAACTACAGTGTAACCACTTCACCAGGTGACTAAAAACATATGCAACGATCATAATATTTTACAACATAAAAATATCTCTTTTATCTCTAATAAAAGCTATCTAGTTCTTTTTTAAAAGTTCTATTTAAAACATGCGTAGGAGTGTTTTATCGAGTCGTATATAATAAGTCGGAGGCCGTATTTTACAAATATTTTATGTGTTTTTTTTATTGTCGAGGGTAGAAATTCGAGGGTGAAAAGCTTGAGGGTATACATTTTAATAATTTAACAAAATAATAATTTTAGCTCGTGTTCATTTAGTTTACTTTTAATTTTTAGCTCTTATTTTTATATGCAATTATTATTTTTTTATATGCGATTACTTTTTATATGATAAAATATTACTACATGAAAACAGACATGCCGATCAAAAGCTACAGTCGAGATAGTTTCAAACGGCGTGGTGCATTATCTGCGTTATCTCGGATTGCATGTCGCAAATTATTGAATTGTCTATTCACTATATGGTCTATTGAATCAGAGTAATCAGGACTTATTTACACCTTGCCATTGCCATACGCCTTTTCCGGGTTCGCGACGCCATCTTGAAAGTATTGTTTTCGCTATCGTGCTTGGACCACTTGCAAATTTATATATAGGGAATGCCCGCAAATTTCTACCCTCGACAATAAAAACCATAAAATATTTTAGAAATACGACCCCGGACTTTTTACTGATGACCCTCGACTTTTTTATATGACCCTCGACGTTTTATATATGATTTTTCGACCCTCGCTTCCCGTCCTCGACCCTCGAGAAAAACTCCTGAAACTGAATTACGTAAACAAACCACATTTATCAAACACGCAAAGAAAATTATTTAAAAAGTAATATATTGTTAGTCGTGTCATATAGTTAATTGTCAACACTTTTTCAATGCATGGTAGTAAGTTAATAACTGGCACCATAACTCATAATTAACTAGTGTCATGTTGATATTTTGTTTATACAGATTGATTATTTTAATTTGTAAGGCTTCGCTGTAAGTTTGTTATTATCAAACGTTTAGATTGTTTTAAGCATCTTAGTAATGATTTTACTTTAAGACCAAGGGTGGGTTGACTACAAAATTTTTGTAGTTCGCTATAACTACAGCTACTTCAAAAATATGTAGTCAGCTACAACTACTGCTACTTTTGAACAAAGGTAGTTCGCTACTGACTACAGCTACAGCTTAAAAAATGTAGCGAACTATTTCGCTATTTCGCTACGCTATATTTTTAGTGTTACTGTATTTGGAGCATCTACTAACTCAGGCTGAAATGTAACCTATAACAAATCGACTTATGAGTAGCAACAGTAAACACAAAGCAACATTTTTGTAAGCACTACAGTGTTCAAGAGTGCAAATTGACTATTGAGTATTGATTTTAAGCAAACCGTGTCTCAATATCATTCTATTCTATCAAGTTGCTAACAATTTTAGAAAGTAGCGAATAGCGATTCGCTGTTTGAAAAGTAGTCAACTACTTGGCTACTTTTAGGCAAAATGTAGTTCGCTATAACTACAGCTACTGTTTTAAAAAAGTAGTCAAAAACTACTGGCTACTTGAAAATTGTAGTTCGCTACACAGTACATGCAGTAGCGAACTACAACTACTTCGCTACAACCCACCCTTGTTTAAGACCAAGACATTGCAGCCGTCGAGACCGATTTTTAATACTCTATAAATAAAACATTAAACTGTGTAATAGACGTAACAGTGTTGGGTAAAGCTCTATAGTTAAATATATTTTATATGCGCTTTTGTCTAATTCAAGCGTGGTAGACAATATTGCCAATAATGTTGTGGTTTGCGATATAAATTGCCTTGCGAATCGAAGACTTTCAGATATGTCATATGTCGAATAGATTTGTGCGTTGTTTGTACTTCAATTTTGGCCACGAGGCACAAAGGGAGACTTAAAGAAGACGAGTGTTAATACAATTTAACTACGTATAGTGTTGACACAATTAAAAAATACAGGCTAACGTCAGTGACGAACCAAGCCATTTGTCGATCAGAACTAGCTTTGCAATAACGGCCACCGCTACTAAACACGCGATAAAGTCTCGAATTTCGATTTGTATTTATATGAACTGTGGTCACTGTATAAAAACGAGTGTATGAGAACCCTTCATTTGATAATATTCACTGTAAATAGAACTAAATACATTGTAAACACAACGCTCGCTCCGACCTTACTACGAATGGCGGCTATTTTTAGATATTTCGTATTTTTGTAGTGCGTTGCGTGCGCTGCGTACGGTGCATCTGTGGAAGTGCACACTTGTGTCGCCTAAGAAAAAAGATCTGACATTTTAATACTCCGGTACTTACAGTACCCGGAGTAACAAGCGTAATTTGAGAATGAGTGAATCCTTGAGAATTAGTGAATCCTCCACTTTAGTCAATATAGGATATAGCGTCAAAGTTAACAACCTTGTTCGATCCCAAAATATCTCGGATGTGTGGAATTAACATGTACAGCTAAAGTTATTGACGGTTTTGAATACCTTGGAAGGTTTGCTAGTTATTGCTAGAAGGAAAATGTAAGTACACGAATAGCAAATTCTCGTGTACTTAGGCCTACGTGGTACTCGGCTAAAAACAAAGAAGTACCAGACCGTAATTTTGGCGTACCTCTGCTACGTTGGTACGCGAATTATCGCACCCTGAGATTTTTAACTGACAAATGAAATTGTTTTCTCTCATTCTACAACAAAATATCAATGCAGTCCTCGCAATTTTCGACGGCAAACAGCATGCAATGGACCATTCCCCAATTAACAAAAATTTGATCTCAACAAGTCTAGACAAAATTCCATCACAACATGAAAGAGCATCACAAAATTAGTAATATTCCAAAGTTTCGTTGCGAAATGTTGTAAAATGCGGATAATATAGCATTGCGAAGTTTGTAATTTTCAGTCATTTTGTATTACGCACAGAAGTGGTAACCATTTCCCGTTTGTAATCTAAAATGACTGAAAATTGCAAACTTCGCAAGGCTATATTAGCCGCATTTTACAACATTTTGCAACAAAACTTTGGAATAGTTACTAATTTTGTGATGCTCTTTCAAGCTGTGATGAAATTTGTGTCTAGACTTGTTGAGTTCAAAATTTTGGTTAATTGGGGAATGGTCCATTGCCGCCGAGAATGCCGCTGAAATTAAATAATTGACGTAAGTTTTTTGCCAACGAAAAGTTTTGTGGCACTACCTCTTAATCCGGTTGATTCTTGTAAAATATTATTATATTTTAAATAATTAACAATTATTCGCCGAAAGCGAGGTGATTATCGGGGAATATTCGCCGAGACGAAGTCGAGCTAGGTGAATATTCCCCGATAATCACCGAGCCTCAGGCGAATAATTGTTTTAGTATTTTTGCACAAGTTTTTTTGTATTTTTCTGGTCTGAATTCATTTTAATTTCGCTTATTTCTTTATCACCAACTTCAACAAAACGGCTATATCCGCCATTTTGAAAATTTCGATTTTGTTTATTCACCGCATGTAGGTGAATATAACAGATTAATACGTCAAATTTGACCAATCACCTTGTAGGATTTGTTATGTTCACTTGTGCAAAAATACTAAATAATAATAATAACTTACTGACCGAGAGTGAGGGCAGTACGGGGAAATATCCAACGGTCTTGCTGTATTGGACAAGCGATAACAAAGGTCAATACAGCAAAACCGAGGTTGGATATTTCAAGAGAACGCCCATCGTCAAGGAGTTACTGGCTACTATTTTCCTCAAAAAGACCTTCGCTCTGGAAATGTGGGCATGTTTTTTATGAAATGTTATAAAGCAAACTAATATATATTTGTGAAAAGTAATTTTATAAAATGCTCAGTAATTTGCTATGGACATATTGAAATGTTTAATTATTTTGAAATGTGAAAGTATGCAGGCTTTCTTGCCATCCTACTTTTCCTACTTTTTCCCACTTTTCGTCAACTTTCCTACTTTTCCTATTTTTTATTAAAAATTGCTTGATTTTCCTACTTTTTCTCATGAAATCCTACTTTTTTAAGACAGCTTGGCGAATCAGTATGTTATAGCTCTCCTAATTAGATCTATAGGACTCGTAATTTTTATTCCCTATATGTGTCAATAATCATAATCAATAAATTAATGAAGACTGTGAAAATGCCATTTCAGACGATCTAGAGATTCCAAATATTCAACACCCCCCCCCCCCCAGTTATTCAAGCATCATATGCTCCTGCCGCACAGTGTGGATTGGTGTATGGCGCAGCCAAATACATGCACTCGCAAGCATAACGCATTTGAATTGTGTTGCTGCAGAGCAGATGCCTTAGCTTTTATACCGATGCAACATTCATTGTCTATATTAATATCTAATTTTAAAAGTTTTGAGAAAAATCCTGCATAGGTGAATGAATACAAAAAAAATATTGAACACAAAATATTCACACAACTTCCCCGTCAGATATCTAATGGTACACCCTTTACCACATATATCCTAGGGGCCAATTTTGTATTTTTTTTGTGTTATTTGCATCTCCAAAAAGTCCTACTTTTGTCCTACTTTTCCACACATTTTCCTACTTTATTCCTACTTTTCCTAAAATTCTAGTCCTACGTTTATCCTCCTTTTTACACAAGGATGCCAGAAAGCCTGAGAGTGGCATTATTCTGTTAGTTCAGACACAACGCTTACAGTTTGCATGAAATATAATTATTTTGTTTTGTGGAAATCCCCATGCACGTTTATTTGTTTAAAGTAATCTTTTATCGTAGTTTTTCTTCGGTTGTTTTTAGATAATTATGGACAAACTACTGATTATACCCAAGTCTTATCCACACACTGAATCATCCTGGCTTATTTTAGGTATGGCAATTGTTGAATCTGTGTTTGCATGTGCATCTTTTTGTTTTTCTATGTAACATTTAACTGTAGAGAGCAATCGGAGGCTACATATCTATGGATGCAGGGCCGTCGGGGGTTACATGTGGGGTGAATTAAAAGGATACGTCTGGAAAATCTCCCCCCACCCTGCCAACAATTTTGGAAAAAGAAATATTACTTAGGGACTGAAATGTTGTCGGCAAATGCGACACTACACCCCCCTCCTTGCTTTAGCCTCTTCGTTACGGCCCTGTATACATGATTGGAACATAACTCGCTAGCGGAAATTATATGTACATGCAAAGGGCAAACTACGCAATCAAAAAGGGGTGAATATAGCCGGAATAAACCTTTCCCCTTATAACCAAAATTTTGATCTAGGCAAGTCTAGACAAATATTTCATCACAGCTTGAAAGAGCATCACAAAATTAGTAATATTCCAAAGTTTCGTTGCGAAATGTTCTAAAATGCGGATAATATAGCCTTGCGAAGTTTGCAATTTTCAGTCATTTTGCATTACAAACGGGAAATTGCAGTCCCAACACCCGAATCGTATGTCAATTTCCCGTTTGTAATACAAAATGACTGAAAAACGGCAAACTTCGCAAGGCTATATTATCCGCATTTTACAAGATTTTGCAACACAACTTTGGAATATTACTAATTTGGTGATGCTCTTTCAAGCTGTGATGAAATTTTTGTCTAGATCGAAATTTTAGTTATAAGGGGAAAGGTCCATTAGAGCGCTGTGTTTGGAATCGCAGGGCCGCAGGTTCGATTCCTGTCAGAGGATCGATAATTGCATTTTTCGCAACCGCTCCTGGTTAGGTCTAATAATTGTTAAAAAAAATTCCACTTCAAATTTCCATCTACAAATCCTTTCAACGAATTCTGTGAGATCCGTATTCTACATGTTATAGTTCAGCTGGAATTTATACCAACACAGAACGCTTCATTTGGATGCGCAAAGGAAACTCTGAATGGACTTTCACCTTTTGACTAAAATTTAGATTTCAACAAGTCTAGACAAAAATTTTATCACAGCTTGAAAGAGCATCACAAAATTAGTAATATTCCAAAGTTTCGTTGCGAAATGTTGTAAAATGCGGATAATATAGCCCTGCGAAGTTTGCGATTTTCAGTCATTTTGTATTACAAACGGGAAACACATACAGTACCCTTTTTTCGAAGGAGGTATGTATTTCCCGCGCGTAATACAAAATGACTGAAAATGGCAAACTTCGCAAGGCTATATTATCCGCATTTTACAATATTTCGCAATGAAACTTTGGAATATTACTAATTTTGTGATGCTCTTTCAAGCTGTAATAAAATATTTGTCTAGACTTGTTCAGATCTAAATTTTAGTCAAAAGGTCCATTGGCGTATATAAACTAAGTAACTTTAAGTTGATGATACCCCTCCCCTCTCCCCACGACGTGGATGGATCAATGAAGTAGTTCTCCTCTTAGATTGCTTACTTGAAATGCGGAATTGTGAGGTTTATGAAAAACGGTCAGTTTGGACTCAGGTGGTGAGTTGCATGTAAGCAATGTAGTGTTCCTCGTTTCGTACTCACAACATTGTTAAAACAATGCTGAACATGACAATGGTGGAGAGAAAGAATTTGAAGCAGTTTTATAGAGTATCTAAATATAATACCGTGTATTCTCTTTGAGAAGTTAAATTTATTAATTTGTGCTACATTTAGCAAACAAGCCTGACTACCCTGGTTTCGCTTGCATGGATTGTTTTCAACCTTAAGGTTTTACACTCTGACTCAAGTAACAGTTCTGGGTTGAAAAATTGTTTATTAGTCTAATAATGCATGAAATATAATATGATGAAAAAATTGTGGCAGCCACGAGGTTGTGTGGCAGGTTTTGAATCGGTCAATGGTGAAATCTTTTTTGGAACAAGGGTGCAACAAAGGAAAACGTTTCAAGTGAACACGAGAACACAGACCCCCGGAAGACTCTCTTTACAATACAATACGTTACTTTCATACTGTAATTCAGCTTCCAGAATGTTACGTGTTGACTTAGACTTGGATCAAATCTATCTCAGGAGAAAAATAGGGGGAAACATTTGCAGCATTTCGAATTTACTTGCAAGAATTTGCGCGAAAATTTGTCGTTGCTATCAACTTGCAATCCAGGCCACCGTTGGAAAAATCCGACAGTAAATTTTGGCGCGCTTGCAAATCTCCCAAGTCCATCTCTCCCAGTGAAATGAATGTAATTGGACCACTACCTCCAACCGAAAATTGGAAGCCAAATTCGAAGGCCATTCCCAGTCTTTTCACGCATGCGAAGGGCGGTCAACCTGACAACATGAATATGTATTTTTGAAAAACGTTCCGGTTGTATTCATTTCATTGGTCCCTCCCTATTTTTCTCTCTATTATTGGGCTCAACTTGAACTTTCCAAGTTGTAAACCTTTCTTCGAGTTAAGTTCTTGACGGAAATTGGTGTGGTTTGGGCGTGGTCGGGGCTTAACTCTAAAAGGGCTTAACTCGAAGATTGCCTACCTCGGGTAAACAAAATTTTGAGTGATTAAAAGGTTGGGTAAATGAAAAACAAAACAACTCAAGGTTTGGGTAATAATAATTATTGTTATTTCCAAAGCATGACTCACTCAAATATTGAAGACTAAAAAGCAATGTCAACAGTCATATGTCAATGCAATATGTAAATCAATCAATCAGAGTCACTATCTTGACCATTTGTCAGGAGGCAAGTGGTGTATCCAATGAAAGTACATGTGCAGACAACAAAATTGCTTAAGCTGTTATGAAACTCGTACCACAGGAGCTGTAAAGTACATGTGTGACAACTGAATGGTCAACCTCGTACCCAGGATCTTTCTTTGGGAAAGACCCTGGCTGCGGCTGGTCACGTGCCTCATCAAAAATTTAGCGCCTGAGGGGGTGTGGGGAAAGTATCAAATTACATAAACATGCTTCCAGTGGAATATTCGTTAAAAACATAAATTTTGCGAATTATTATGTTCAAAATACTTGCTAATTTTTGTTTATTTTCTTTGCTTTGAATTTACAAGAACATTCTTACATTCTTACTTACAGTGAAGTCAAGAAACAAAGCAAATCGCAGTACGTGCTCTCTCGTGTTGTTATTCAATGCATGCTCTCTTCACAATCGAGCGCGGTTATACAGTAACAAACCTTTTAATATTGTAATGTTTTTAAAATACGCCATGACATTCGTCCTTTCTTGTAAACGTTGATACGCTTTGTACCAATTTACTTGTTACTACGCGTCTTGTTTATAAGATTTTTAAAAGAAACAGTATTGTCTAGGACTGAGTCGACTGACCCAATATTAGCAAATGCAAACATTTGATAATAGCTAGCCGAACAGAGAAATGTCTATAAGTATAGAGGAAATTTCAGTCATTGATTTATCTGGATTTAGTACATAATTCGTATTCGGTAATTATAGTAAGACTTTAGCCTTTTTTTGGTTTCTATTAATCATTATATTGTGTTAACATACTATATAAATCAATATCACAAATTTACAGTGTCAGATGCGCACAGACCGTCATTGGCATCATACGAATAGACATAAATTTTCGAGTTTTCTAGCCTACTTCTACTAACATTTTTAAAGTTTTCATTGTGAATCACCTGTTTATCTCTAATTCATTAATCATTTACTACTTATATAGTTATATTTATTTGATAGTGTCATATACTGAGTAATGCGTTTACACACAAGCAATCCTGGATATGATATAGACGATGCAAGCTGTCCATTAAAAAATAACGGTATTCTATTTCACAAAGTCAAAGCAAAAAATTAAATCTCACTTGTATTATTAAGAATGCATATACAGCAAAAAATTAAAGCTTATTCATGTCAAAATGAAAGCTGTTTACAAAATTTATAAAGGTAGTGAACACTACTAAACAGTGCTCATTGAAAGACATGCATAATATAGTGACATATAATTTGTCGTTTGACTTATCTTTGGTGTATGATTTTAATACCGTAGATTTTCAACAGACAGCTATACATATACCATGATCGTTGGTTTCAGCAATGCCAAGGGCCAATTTTATAGTGTTTTGACGGGCTTTAAGTTTTTTTGATAAGGCCTTTATATAGATCAACAATCTGGATACAGTTGGCGATATTTCGGAAATCAAAAGATCTTGCTATTTCGTTGCAATTCCACATCTCATCAATAAATAAATTATTTTGGTCCGAGTATCAGGATAGACATTAATACAAAATAAATAACAACCACACTGGTCACTGTTCGGTCTAGAGATCTATATTTTCTTGTAGGTTTAATATCGCCACGCTGCACAAACGGCAAGCGTGCTTTCTCTGGCAAGTCTATAAGTTGAATATTGAAATCTGATCCAACTTGCTTGAATTGTAACTCGACACCAGATTATAGAGTAGAGCGTCACGATATAAATATTAATTTAAGAGTTCTCTTTGCGATTTCTTGTTGCAAATTTACAGTAAATTTCATCACCCAAAGTTGCAATTTTAAAACGCTACAAACACGCTCCTTTCCCACCCCTCTCACAGTTACAATTAAATTTACCTCCCAGAATCTGGGAGGCACGTGACCAGCCGCAACCAGGGTCTCTCCCAGATGACAGAAGGAGAGATCCTGGGAACGAGGTTGCTGAATGGTATCCTTTTGTAAAGTGTTTGGCCAGTGGTGGGTATTTATTTTTTTTAATGATATTCGAGGTTGCGCAAAAAGTTTTTTGACTTTTTAATGGTTGGATCAGCAATATTTTACAGAGAATAGCATTTCTCTTCAGTGCCACTCCCCCCCCCAAAAAAAATTACCGCTCTCTAAGCCAGTTCTAGATTTAAACATTTTCTGTCGTTGATGCATTCTCACTTCCAGAAGGCAATATAATTGCTGCGGGTCTTTCCATTGTGCCATAAGTACTGCCACTTGTCTCCATTCCACTTCCGGACGAGTCACCTTGCGTTATGCTGCCCAACTTGTCGTATGGTGAAGGAACATGTCTGACGCGTTGCATGACGTCATAAACATGGCGGCCAAAGTTGTCAACATTCCCCCAAGCGTTACGAAGCCACTCCATAGCTAATGGCCGAATTAACTGAAGTCTATCATACCATGAATTTCGCGCGGGTCTTGTGTTCATGTAATCTCGGTAGAGCACGACACCACGCGAGAGGCCTGGAACTGGGTCACCATCAGCTGTCAGGTTTTCATATTGAACACTAGTGCCAGTCTCTTGTGATAAACTCGCGACTTCTTGTGAAGTAATGTTGCCTTCCAACTGTTGATGACCGCGGGAATGTTGCAGTAAAATATGCAAACGGGCGTAATAAGAAGAGTCTGGAGAATTCAAATTTCAAAATGAAGATGTTGTAGAAAGACTAAAAATCAAATTCAAACTTGATCTCACCTTTTTTTCGACGTCTTCTAAGAATGAAAATAAAACAGACAAGTGCTACAACGATCACAAAAGCAGCAGCAGTGACACCAACTGTCAGGGAGTCGGTGTGAGCTGAAATTAAAAAACAAATTTCATTTGAATGGATATTCATTTCTTTCTGACACCTTCCGCTTTGTCGCGCCAATACAAAGAAGCAATTTTTTTTCATTGTTCCGTATTTGCGATGAAAAGTGTTCAAAATCTAAAATCATTTTGGCTTTCTCTCAAAATGAATTTGGTTTAGCTTTATTTCGTAGTTTGCACGGTTAGCAAACTGCGTTTGAGTCTCTGGGTTGAGAAACACAAAATAATAGTTAAATATTGCAGTTTAAATACAATTTTCAACTCTTTTTAGTACTCAATCAACCCACAACATTTTAAGAATCTTTTCGAAGGAATTTAGTCCCACATGAAGACGTTTTAACAAGTTAACCCTGCTTGTCACGTCAGCAGAAACTCAGTTATTTAGGTCAATTATAATACCAAGATGGCGGACTGCACACTGTTTTTGGTTAAAATATTTCGAAAACTAAGCAAGATACGAAAAAGTTGTAAAGGGTCTTCATATATAACTTTAAAAGTTCTTTCAAATAAGACAAAGTAGATTTTTATTGCCATATCCTTTAACAATTTTTAGAAGCCGCATAATAAAAAATAGGGTTCTGGCCGGAACTAGCCGAGTTTCGGTGCACCCGTACTTTCCGTCCTGATTCATGAGGGCGAGGCTCCGAGGCCAAGAAAGGATTCGTGACATAATTATCGAAAGAGTGTATTACAATATTAACCCAACTAAGAACGCGTTATTTTTAGGCGCTTTCAAAAATTTCGAACTACTTAGATTTACCTTTATCGTCTTTTGGTACCATCACCAATTTCAATTAAAGTATAACAAAGCAAAGTTTGGCTATAGTTATTAAGAAATAAACGTAATGGGTTACCAGAATGAATATCTTTTATTTGTTTGTTCTCACCTGGACAAGGTTCCATCTCACACAAGCGAATTTCTTGAGCCGCCCCCCGCTTACTACAATTTCTACCATATTTTCCAGGGGGGTTATCACACCGTCGTGTCCATATGTCGACACCTTTGCCACACGTGACACTACATGGTGACGACTTGGTCCAGTTGCTATAGTTACCATCAACTAGAAAGTAGAGATGGATAAAGATAAAAATGTATACGGGTGGATGCGCATGGTTTTAACCACAACACACGACAACTGGTCGTTTAAAAACAGAAGGTCTGCTAGTACAGTGGTTAATGTGGCTATAGTCGTGTTTACACTACCAGCCTTGGCCTACATTTTGACAGTGTAAACAGACTTTGGCCTAGCCCTGGCCTGACCTAGGCCAGGAAATCTGGGCCCACCACAACCTGTGGCCTATACGCCTAGGCTTGTGGAAATGTAAACACTGTCGGCGCCTTATTTTCATGGCGACGTGTGTCCACAGTGAGAGATTAGCGGACAACGTCACAACACATAAAAATACACAAAATTAATTACAAAATTGTAGGTCAAAGTGAGTCAGTCTCAAAAAAATAGTGTAATGGTGTAAACGCGCCACATTTACCTTGGTCCGGCCAAGGCTAGGCCAAGGCTTGTAGTGTAAACATGACTTATGTGACTAGGGTTGTACTTGTGATTATAATTTGACCTCATTTGTATGTGAGAAGATTATTGTCAACTAGACACCGCAGATCTTCTCCATCGGTTCTAGTATAAATAAAGTTAGGTCACTTTAGGTTTCCTCCTGTAGTAACACTGGATCAATAGTGAGCTTAAGCAAGTGACGTTTTTGACAACACGAACGGCATAAGTAACGTCAGAAGACTGGGTCAAGGGCTGTGATTGGTGGAAAACGTCAATTTTACTTCCGGTCGACGTCTGTGTTGTCAAAAAAGTCACTTGCTTAAGCTCACTTATAACAGATGATCCTTTCTGGACCTCCAGCGTTGACCAGTTTTGAACTGATAGAGCTATCTAGTCCCCGAGCCGGCGGCGCGAAGCGCCGTGCGAGGGTACTAATTCCCCCCGGCTATTTACACCCGGGGAAACGAAAGCATTAGCGAAGTCTAAAGTTCATCAATGAGCGCGGGCGTCGGTCACCAACGATGGGTGGTCATCCTCACTGATGTCAAAAATATGGCGGACTGTCATGAATAACGGACACTGATTGGTCCAATTTAAAGTTTGCATTATAACGACTGCATGACGACAGCGAAATAGCAAACATTTCTTGATTTGATGAGTTGATGATTGATAAATTTCTTATTCTTCATTTTTGCTCGTATTTCTGCAAGATTTTGTAAATTTCAAGAAAGAAAGGGCGAAAGAATCAGCTAAAAGAAGGGAGCCCACGTTAACGAAGGTAAGTTTGTTTTAAATATTGATTTTATAATGGCTTTAAAACCCGACGGTATATGAAACAACTATTAATAAAACAAGACAGCATATAATTTCAGTGTATCTTTAATATTGATTCCCTTTTTTATTATATTGATTTTTTTAAATAAAAAATAAAGCTAAGTTATTTGCAAGCGAGAATTTGAAATCATTTTATTGCAAACTCAAAGTTTATCGATAAAGCCATTTAATAGTTAAAGGCAGTTTAGTTTTATAAAGAACACTTTAAAACGTTTTGTGAATTGTTTGTGGTTGAATTTTACTTTAAATTGAAGCTTGTATTACGTATAATTACATACCTAACATATATATCTTGGGAAATTGATAATTTGTAATTAAAAGTGATATTTTTAGGCGATTTTCATTTGTAAGAATATTCTTAAAAAATTATCGTGTTACCATGACAACTACTTTAGATACTTCATGTTCGGAAAATACAACGGTTTTGTCAGCAAGGCGAGGGTTTCTGCATGCATGTATTTTGTAGTATAAATAAAGTTAGGTTACTTTAGGTTTCTGTTGGAGAAAGGCTTCAAGAATCCCCAACAAATAACACTCGAAGAATCTTTTTGTTTTAAATCTATTTATCTACTAAAACCCTTACAGAAAGTCCTCAAAATAACAGTTTGTTTTTTCACTCCGAATGTTGTTTTTCTAGCTCTCGTATTTTTCTCCCCGGCCCATCCCTTATTGTCTCAGACCGAGACTAGTGTGACCGCGGCCTTAGTCTCAGGTCAGCATCGTCTTCTGAGAGTCTAGGCTTTCTGACTCCGGAATTAAGTTGGGTCGTCCAATCGTCATGGTCTGGGGCGTTAAGATTGGTAATTGTATATCATCCTGAACATAACTCAGCGGTCGGTTATTTAGTGTAATCTCGATATCCAGCAGCACTTCTTCCAATTCGTTCCAGGTCAACTTCGACTTCCCCGTCGTCTTATACAACGCCTGCTTCACTAAACCGACCATCCGTTCGAATTGGCCGCACCACCATTGGGCCCGACTGAGGTTGAATTGCCAGACGATCTTCATTTTTCCAAGCCAATCATGAAGTTGTTCATCCTTCATAGCCTTCCTCAACCATTTCGCTGCGGCGACGAACGTCTTCCCGTTGTCGGAATAGATTTTATCCGGACGACCGCGTTTCGCAATTAACCGTTTGAGGCTTCGGATGCATTCTTCTGTGGTCAAGTTTGGTACCAACTCCAAGTAGATACTTCTTGTTAAACTGCATGCACACAGCAGGATATAGGATTTCTTCTCGTGGTTTTTCGTTGTGCGATACAATATCGGGCCGGCATAATCGTGCCGTGGAATCCAATAATTTTCTCTCACCGATGTCATTGTGAACTCGCCCATGGAGAGTCTGTGCGTGGGCATTCATCACAATCTTTGCGGCTAGCGTGGACTTGTCAGGCAGGAATGTTGGGTAATGTCCCTGAATACGTCCACGACACTCGTGCACACCTCGTCCATTCTTCTGAAGGTTGAGTCTCAACTGTTCTTCTTGGAATTCGACGGTCCCTTCATATCTCGCCTGCGTTCTCCTGATCCAGAAATTAACTTGCTCTTCGGTTTCCTCTGTTGATATTGGTCCTTTCTTCCTCGCTAGACGCTTCGCCCGGCAGTTGTTGATAAATCTTACTACCCATGTTGTTATTCGTACCGCTTTCCAGAGCTCGTACTTCTCCATCACTTGATCCAGTTCATCTCTCGGTTCGACTGCCACCGCTAACACTTCGCGCACCGTTTTGCCTTCGGACTCTGACTCTGGACTAGGAGTCGTAACAATGTTCTGCGACCACTCGTCTTTGTTCTGTAACCATTCCGGGCCTTTCCACCAAAGCTCAGATAACTTATCTGCTGATCCACCTCGACTCCCGATATCTGCCGGGTTATCAGTTATCGGAACATGTCTCCAGTGGATGTACTGCTTCGCCTGGATCTTTCTCACCCTCTTTTGGACAAACTGTTATAATCTCCGTTGTATAATCTCCGTTGCCTTGTATCCAATGCAGTGCCACCAACCACCAATGCACGTCTCGAACTGGAAGAGGTTGCAATGTTTCCTTGATGTTATGTAAAAGGTTTGCCGACATGTGCCCTGACACCAACTCTAGCCTGGGTATTGATAAATCTTTCTTTGCCAAGCGTGATTTCGACGTTATCAGTCCTTGGTTGACGCACGACTCTTGGTAGACCACGGCATACACAACTGTAGAAACTCCTTTTTTGCTCGCATCTCCAAAAGCATGAAGATCGATCGCCTTGATATCTTCTTGGTTGGCTGTTAGACTTCTCGGGACTTGGACCTTTTGAGGCAGGCTTTACACCCAACAGCTCCACTTAGCATTCAGGCTGTCAGGTAGTGGTTTATCCCAACCAATACGCAGGTTACAAGCTTCTCTGTACAACGTTTTCCCAGCCAAAGTCACCGGCGAAACAAGACCGAGTGGGTCATAGATCTTCGCGATCGCTCCTAGGATGCTTCGTTTTGTTGGTGCGGCAGGTTCAACATCAGGAAATGTTACTCCGATTGTATCTCTACGCTTGTCCCATGCTAGTCCGAGCAATTTTGTCTCGCCTTTCTCAACGCCCAGTTGTTCTTTCGCGTAGCTTCGTTCAGGTTCACTCGACGGCTGATTGTCCGTTTCCAAGATTGGTTCATTAGAATGCCACTTGTGCAATTCAAAGCAAGCTTCGCCGAGGATCGATATGGCTGACTTTCAGGTTTTGGGCTTTGCTCGTCGTTTCTCCACCGCCAATTAGATCATCGACGTACAAACTTCGTTTGATCTCTTCTACGATCTCTGGATTCTCTGATTTACAATTTTCGAGATGCTGTTCGATTACTCCACCGAGTAGGAATGGTGATGATGTTAAGCCAAATGGAACTCTAGTGAATCTCAAAGTTTCGATTTCTTTCGTGTCCGTATCCTTCAACCAATGAAATTTCAGTGCATTTCGCTCTTCTTTCACTCGCACTTGAAAAAACGCTTGTTTCAGATCACCAGCGACTGCAACAGGATAAAACCGATTTCGGGTCAAGACACTCCACAAAAGATTCTGTAGGGGTGGTCCCGTCTCCAGACAGTCGTCGAGGGAGGGTGCCTTCTCATATGCCTTAGCCGAGGCATC